CGAGGCTATTTTCCAGGACCACAGTATACCGCAGCCGATGATGATGGCAGTGAGCGTGCTCGACGCCTGATGAAACCGCTTCCACCGTTCCCTGGCAAAGCTGGCAGATCCCAACAGCAGTCATGACTTTGATGGGCTCAAGATATTCAGGCAGGGGCATGGGTGTTTTTGAGATTCTCTTCTATCTATGAAACAAAGCCTCAATTTCTACATCAACACAAATCAATCAAGTAAACCTAGGTGGAGAGAAGCCGTGCCTTTGGGCAAAACATAGTATGTAAGATCATATGCACTGTCGTCGGGCGCGCCCGAGCCCTCTGCGTGTAAAGACTTACAGTATGTCTCTTGCTTCTTGCCGTTGCATCGCCCTTTGATGACGGAAAATAGAAGATTCTTTTATCAAAATATTCGCTCAGAGCCGGGCAGGCACCAATCTTCGGGGTTTCTGGGGACGAAGGGATGCTACTGGGCTGTCATAGGTATCACAATCAGCTCCCCTGAGGAGCGATGTGGAGTCAACGATTATCTTCGTCGGCAATTCTGACCAGTCATCGACGACATCTCATCGGCGTCCGGGTTCCAATATCACGACCATCTGAGCGCAACATGTCGCAATCATGCTCCAGCGTCCTTATGAGAAGGAATCAAGGTCAGCAAGGCACAAATCAGTTCTGTGCTGGGCAGACCTGAATTTCCATAAAAGCTGGCCTCCCTTCCGCATGTCCAAGTTACGAGGTTCGTCCTGTTCATCAAACGGCAGAAAGGATTGTCTCCTCTCAGGTCTACCAAGCCAACATGAACATTCGTATCCTTCCTTTAACATCTCAATTTGTTCCCAACATGGCCACCATTGCCCCGGAGATCGCTGGTGCAATGGATAAATCCATCAGCGATGCCAAAACCTTGCTGAGAGAGGTCGACTTAGACGTGAGTAGTCCCAAGCACCGCCGTTTGTGTCCCGCAAAGGGACGTCAGCACAAACTTGTCCAAGCTGACCCAGGCTTCGACGTTCTAGATATTCCATCATCCGGAACTCAACTATCAAGAGTTTCACGCGCACGATGCTCTCGTCGAAGTACTCAAGAAGCTTGGTTTCAAAGTCACCCCTCACGCATACGGAATTCCTACATCTCTGGAGGCAGACTACGGAGAAGGCGGCCGTCTCGTCGTCTTCAACGCCGAGTACGACGCGCTCCCTGAAATCGGCCACGCCTGCGGCCACAACCTCATCGCCACCGCATCCCTAGCTGGCTTCATCGCCACAGTTGCCGCCCTGAAGGCGTCCGGCAAGCCTGGACGCGTTAGATTTCTAGGCACTCCGGCCGAGGAAGGTGGTTGCGGCAAGGGCATGCTCGTAGGCAAAGGAGCATACGACGGCGTCGCAGCCTGCGTGATGGCTCACCCGGCCCCAATGTTCACCTACGGTAACGAAGGGCGATACGGTGACGTATTTGTCAATCATGTCTCTGCCACCGCCTTCAGAATCAAGTTCAAGGGCAAGGCTGCGCACGCCGCCGCCTCGCCTTGGGAGGGCGTGAACGCTCTCGATGCTGCTGTCCTCGGCTACAACGGCGTCAGTATGATGAGGCAGCAGATGACGAAAGATTCCACCGTCCATGGCATTTTCACTGACGCCGGCGTCAAGAGCAACATCATTCCCGACTTTGCTGCCGTTGACTATACCGTGCGCGCGCCAACCATTGAGAAGACCAAGGAGCTGCGAGACCGCGTCATTGCGAATTACCGCGCTGGCGCCATCGCCACGGGCTGCGAGATGAAGGTCGAGTACGATGTCTTTTACGCGCCCTTGCGCCCGAACAAGCAGCTTTCTCTGGTGTTTGCGGACGCTGCGGCAGACTTGGGCATTCCCATGTGGTGCGACGTCGACACCAAGGAGGTCATCTCTGGGGCTACCGACCAAGGGAACGTTGGCTGTGTTGTGCCTGTCATCCATCCTATCTACGGGATTGAGGCCAAGGAAGGGCAGAGTAACCACACTGCCGGCTTCACGGAAGCTGCCGGAGCCGAATCGGCACACGAACGAAGTCTTATTATCGCCAAGGCTCTGGCGAGGTCCGCATGGGCTGTCTTGACCGACGATGAGGTGGCATCCAAAGTTCAGCGTGAGTTCGAAGAAACTATATCGGAGAGGAGGTTGGAGATTTCTCTTGAGGAGGAGATGTCTCTTATCACGAAGGACTCCACTCAGATCAGCACACCTGTTAAGAAACTTTGCTCTTGTGACAACGGAGTTTGAGCCATACTTGTTAGCTAGGCCAGCAAACCGAGGTTCCGCTCTCTGCCTTCCTTAAGTAACATAGCATAGCTGCTATTACCAAGCTTTTGTACCAACCAATCCCGATGAACCGCGTCGTCTGTTTGCCTCGCCATGATGAAGACAGCCCATTGGTTCCGCCACATGAACGGTCTCTCTGGCCTCTGTGTAACCATCCGGAAAATCACCCGGAGGAGATCGTCTTGGGCGACGGCAAGATCTTGTTGAATCGATTCGGATGGTGAAGCAGAGGCCATGGCAATTAGGACACTGACGAGGACAGCATGGAAATGGATAATGATGCTGTAGGACGCTGTGATCAACTTTGCATCGGCTGGATTGGGGGCTTCTGCCAAGCGGAATATGGCCGAATATTCCTGCTCAGCCCCTCGGAAGTCAGCCGCTGTTATTGGCCAGTCCAACATGGGGTCTGCAAGATGTAAAGGGATATAGGAAAGACTACTGTCTTACCTCTTGTAGACGATGTAGCGTGGTCACTATGCCATTCAACTCGTCTTCGTCAATAATGGATGCTTGGGCCCGATGCAATCGATCGAGACAAATGTTTGCGAAAAAGTGAAGCTCCAAGGGCTTTGATCGCTCTACATCATCCATCAACTCCTCGCAAGGATACATCGACCCGAAGTAATCAGCGTGGACATTCCGGGAACAGGCAAACAGGGAGCGCGATGCACCATCGCCGGAGAGTACCAGGCGAGAAACGTTGCCTCCAATGCCGCAAGATTCAGAGTCCAGGTCTTCATACGCTATGAAGAGCAGGAGACTCGCGACAAGACTCCTGTTCGCAGGCAGAGCCAGAGGAGAAGAGACCGAATCAACAGCGGATTTCTCTTCAGAAGATGGGCTGCTAGAGAGATTCCGGAGTGGGGACTCCTCGGCATCGAAGAGGTTCAGAAGACGATGCTTGCGGACGTAGTCTGCTACTGCAGAGCTGAGCTTCTTCATAGCCCGACGACATTTATCATCCCAGATCGCACGGTACGTGAGTTGCAACAGCCAAAAGGCCATCAAAGTCTTTGTATGATTACATATCGGCTGTTGCATTCCGTCGACAAAGCTGTTGGTTCCCATTGTGAAATGAGACTTGGCCGTGGCCAACACTGAACGGTTCGGGTGGTTCCGGGCAACGGTGCCAAGGCATGACGCCAGCAGCAAATGCATGACCGTGGCGTCGTCGTAGGCATGATGAAGCAGGATGGCCAACTTGGACCATAAGAAGGTCTTGGGACTACACTTTGAGAAGACGTTCTCGAAGAAATAGAGAGCGTCCTGCTCCAAGGAGCCAAAGAGAATCGAGCACCGGGATGGTATGTGTCCAGTGCTCAGCAGTGCTTGAGGTGATGCCACTATATTCTGATTAAATATAACATTCAAGGCCATGCGTTTGTCGTAGTGAGCTGCGTGATTTAGAACCGGATCAGTCGTAGTTGTCGACTCGTTTTCTTTCACCGACGTCGTTGAGGGACTCCCTCCCAAATCAAGGGGACTTTTGTCGCTTTCGGCCCTTTGCTGGACAGTGTTTTTAGATATTTCCTTCGAGGGCAATATTGGAGGAGGCATGTACTGAAGGCGAGATTTGACAGGGCCAAACCCGCGCCTTCGCTCTCGGAGGGGAACATGATCTCCACGCCACTGGCAGTGACGCTGTAGGCGACTGCATCGCTGGCATGAAGGCCGGTCCTCTGAGCACTTGACCTTGGATCGTGCGCAGGTAATGCATCCCCTTGTCGATCGACTCCGTCGGCGGGATACTGTAGTCGTGTTGTCGAGCATGGCTGGCGATGATGCCTGTGAAGTGTCTTGCTCAATCGCTTGCGCAGTCGTCGGCGCGAGACCTTGGACAATAAGGAATTAGATCGAACAACGTGAGGGGTGGCATGGCGTTGACGGGGGGGAGACGGCCCTATATTGAACGAAAAGCAAGAGAGTGCGATGGTTGAGAGAAGTTATTGATAAGAGATACAGGAGAATTGCATCATCCCGGAGTTAACGACTTACTGTCGCTGACGCTCCTGATCCCTGAATCGTGCATAAGATTATCTCAACTCTGGGGTACCAACTTAGCCTGAGTGGAGAATTGCGGTCCGAATTGGCCACTAATAGTCTTCGGACCGAGAGTTAATTGAACGAACAATCATAGTTTAGCATGATAGTAGACCACCTAGGTATTAAGTTACTTATCCTATCTAGAGATTGTCAACTTTCAGACGACCTCAACTTAGAGAATTGTGATAACTGAGAGCTTTCCCCAAAGAAAAGACGAACTAAGTCTCTTTTTTTTTTTGGACCACACAGTTGTCGTATGTGAGGCATCTAAAGCGGAACCCACCCAACAGAACAAATAATCTCGTCGAGTCGTGTGATGATGGATGAATCAACTTTACGTGGAGAGGAGCACCGAGGAAGATCCTCCGAAGGGCAGGGGCGGCTGAAGAGCATCCAAAACACGACCAAGAAACACCGATGGTGGTCCTCTAAAAACTTGCAATACATACTACTAGAAGACTCAGACGAAAAGGGAGATGCAGGAGATGCATGGGCGCAAGAGTTGAGAAGAAGCAAAGCCTCCCTTTGGAGATGGCGTTCTGCCACAGCACTGCTCCTATTAGCCTTAATCCTATCTTGGCTCCCGCTCTCAACTTCGAAACTAAGTCGACAAGACTACCCCCAACCAGAAGAGGGCGAAGACAACGTCCTGAAGTGGATGAAAGAAGCCGAAGTCGCCGAAGGACACTTCTGGTGCGGAAACTCGACTATCGAAGCCAAACGCCGAGGTTGCGCCTTCAACAAGCTGCACAACAGATGGATGCCCCCAGCCTGCACACAAGATTTCGAACACGCCCGACAAGCCGTATTTGAAGCCCTGAGCGGCGGCGAGGAGGAGCCGACGTTTCAGTTCTACAGGGACGACGACGGCAAACCGGGGGCTGAGATTTCCGACGAAGAGCTGGATGAGTTTGAGATTTTGACGCCGGCTTGGACGACTGTTGGACATCACATGACGCACTGCATGTATCTTTTGCTGCAGGCTGCTGCGGCGCTGAATTTGGGTACAAAGGCGGATATGGTTGTTCATGCGTGGGAGCATGCGAAGCATTGCGCCATGGTTGTGTTGAATGAGACGAAGAAGGCGCCGGCTTGGAATGATGTCAAGAGTTTTGGGCATACGCAGTCTGGTGTTTGTTGGTAAATATCTACCTAGTAGTCAATGCAAGATATGCTTGGGAGTATTCACGTATTCCATGGTTTATCTACGGCTAGATGGATACCTTAGGCAGGCCCGCACCTTCCGTGAGAAAGTCATATAGGTCCCCTCAATCTCATTCCCGTCACCAGCCAGCAGGCGCCCGTCTAGGTCGACGGGTCGGGTCAAACTGGCTGGGTGGTGGAATGGTTCATGGTCAACAATCATATTATACGCCAACCAGCCTACTCGACGACAGGCTTAGCGAGTCCCCGAGTTCGAATCCCAGTATGAGCACCAAATTTCCCAGCATGAGCACCAAGAGATGTAGCCCCCAGCTCAGCACCGGGGGGGTGAACTCTTTTTTGCATCGACTTAGATAAACCTGATAATGCTCCATGTACGTATCGGTCGTTCAGTATGAATATTCAGCTAGTGGACTCCGATATCAAGCTGACTTCGTTTTTAGAAAGGCCGCGGCCGTAGAGAACAGACTTACGCTGCCAAGGCTAATTACTCAAGATAACTATTAGAATAAGCCACTAGGTAATGAAGTATACTATACATAGCATGTATCTAAGCAACGCTTAAGATTTGTAGCTCAATACTCCTTGAATGATAATTACTCGCCCATCCATTTCAATATATCCACGGTAGGCTAGTAAGCCTTTGGTGAGCGCCGGCTCTTAGCACAAATCCCCGGCACAGGCAACGACTTGCGCGAGAAGCAGTTCTCCCCAACACAATCCAAATCAAAGAACCTAACAACCTCATCCGCCTGATCAGGAATATTATGATCAATCCCATGAGCCAAAAACGCCTCAAACAGCCCCCTCGTCCCATACACACTCTTCGTCCACCCCGCAACAGGATCATCCTCCACAACCTCTGTCGGCAAAGCCCCCGTCCCCAGCACCGTAGTCCACATCTTGATCTCCTCGTAGAAATTCGTCACATTCAGCACATTATCCACGTCCCCGTGCAAAACCTGCAGCTTCGGCCTCGGGCCGGCGTACCCCGGATACGCAGCCTCCACAATGGCAGCCCACTCCTCGCCCGTATGCGTGATACGCCCGCTCGCGCAGTCGTCAGACCACACGGCGAACCCATCCGCAGCATAACACCCAAACGGCACGCCCGCGAACGCCGAGCCCGCGGCAAAGACGTCCGGGTACGCCCCGACGAGGACGTTTGTCATCATGGCGCCGGAACTCACGCCGGTGACGAATACACGATCCGGATCGACGTCGTAGTTCTGCAGAGTCCAGCGGACCATACTCACGATTCCCAAAGAATCACCGCCGGCGTCGTGCGAGAGCGTCTGCGGCGAGGAAACATCCCAGCAGTAGTCTGCGGTGTGGGGCGTGGAGGGGTATATCGTGACGAAGCCGAGGGTGTCGGCGAGGGGCCGCCAGGGCTTGAAGTTGAAGGCGTCTGTCGCGTTGCCGTGGCACCAGTGCGGGAAGACGAGAAGGGGTGCGTTGGGGATGAGGGAGTCGGGAACGTAGAGGTAGAAGGAGACGTTTGTGGGGTTGGGGCCGAAGTCGGTTGTGATGTGTTGGAGCGAGGCAGCGGTTGCGAGGGTTGGGAGGAGGGCTGTTGCCCAGGCTAGATGGAGGCGCATTGTCGGGTTCGTGCTTTGGGGAGAGGCTGTCTTCACGATTGCGACCTGGGGAAAGATGCCAAGAGAACGAGCTGGTAATGCTTTTGAAGTGGGATGAGAGCTGCTTCTTATGTGCTTTTTGGAGGAGCTACCCCCGGCACCCCCGCGATACCGGGCATACGGGTAGAAGAAGGGGCAGCATATGATGGGCCTTCATGTTGCTTCATCCTCACTGGTTCAATTGGCATTGGGGTTGACTGAGGTTGCATTTCTTGCGCGTGGTTGGCGGGGATGGTGTTGTAGGGGAGATCGTCGGTGGAGATGGACCATGGAGGTTCGTGCCTCCGTTTCCCAAAGCGGGAATGTGGAGCCACGGTGAGCCGGTGAGCCGGGTCTCATCGGTGCGAGAAGTCCGAGAAGACGGCTTCTACTCGCAATGTCTTCTGAATGGATGGCGATGCTGGCAATCATGATATTCCAAGCAATTGGCGACTCTACTTTCCCGAGAATTTGAGCATGGATAATATCAGACGCACAATGGTACTGTTGACTCTCACATCGTAAATGCTCTCTCTCCGTTAAGAAGTCGAGGAGACGTCACCCGGTTCACCATCACGAGATGCTGCTTGCCAAATACCCATTGATTTTGATTGACCAAGAACTCCAGACGACGCAGTCTCTGCCCTATTGCACAATATTATGTCAATTGTCGGCCAAGCCAAGTCTATGTGCCGTTTCTACCCCCACCATTCTCTACGCCCCCGTGAAAACCGACTCATCCCCTTATTTTCTCTTGGCGAACGAAGAAGCAGTTTTCTGAACCTTTGTCGGCGGTGCCGCCTCTGCGTCGCTGTCGTCGTCCTCATCCGAATCTTCAACATCGTCGTGATCGACCTCGTCCTCGTCAATAACCTCCTCGCCCGAGCTCTCGTCCTCCGCCGCAGCAACCTCCTCCTCATCATCTTCGTCATCCGAGTCACCGACGAAGCCGTTGGCAGCAGGAACCTCATCGTCATCATCGTCGTCGATTCCCAGGAGCGCATTCCTTGCGCCGTTCAGCACCGCCTCGGCATCCTCCTCGCCTTCGACGTAGATGGCACCCTCCTCCTCGTCGTCATCCTCGTCATCCGCGTCCTCGAGCTGTCTCGCGGCGTCACCTCCACGTGTCCGTCCGTTCCTGAGCTCCATCTGCGCATGCAACATGTCCAGCTTGCCCTTGAGCGCGAGCAGGCTCGGCAGACCGCGCGAGCGCTCGCTGAGGACCTTTTGTAGCGCGACTAACCGCTCCAGGGCCTTGGGCTGAACCGCCAACGCTCCGCCGTGTACGATGAGCGTCCACTTGACCCAGTCCATGAGGCTGCCCGCGCGACCGGGCCGTCTGTGGAAGCGGGCGGAGAGCTTAGTGAGGAGGACGCCGGCGAGGCTGCTGTCGAGGCGCTCAATCGTCTGCTTGATGCCTTCGGGCTGGCTGGTCTGCAGGCAGTTTTCGAGGAGATCGGTGTCGTCGGTCTTGAGCGCCTGGGTGAGGACGGTGCTGAGAGAGGATAACGACACGGGCTCGAGGCCCTTTCTTGATGACTGCGAGACGAGGGCCTTACTGCTGGCGTCGTCTTGTTGCGCGAGCATGGCGGGGACGTCGATCGTGCCGCGGATCAGCTCGCCAAAGGTAGGCGACCCTGCCTCCTCTTCCTCCTCTGCGGCGCCGGCCTCGGCATCGGCCTTGGTTTGTATGGTGGTGGTTTCTTCTGTAGCGGTGCCGTTCACGGCTTCCTTTGCGTTGCCGGTCTCGACCTCGGCGCCTTCCATTTCCTCGTCTGAAACATCCTCATCGCTCTCCTCGCCGGAAGAGATTTCAATCGCTTCGTTGGCGTTGCCCTTGAGTGCGGCCTGCAGAGAGTCTGTCGCGGAGACGGCGGCTCTGCTCTCGTCAATTGTGGTCTTGGAAGCCTTGGGCGTCGACTTGACGACTGGTGCCGTGAATTTGCCGGAAGATCTCCGCCTTGATGACATGGTAACGGATTTTTGGGGGGGTATCTCGAGGGAATCGGGTGGTGGAAACAAAGGTGGGAAAAGTCGTGATCGAGTTCCTCTCCTCCAGCAGCGACAGACCTGCTTGAACTTTTTTTTTCTGCCGCCAACCAATTTTTTTTTCTGGTTGGATGTACATGACCGCCCGCGGGGGGTCTCGCTGACATAATGAGTGGAGGTGGGGCTGTTCTCATCAGTGTCGGGTCCGGTCGCGAGATTCTCGGCCTCGGGAATACCTTTCACCGGCATACCTCCATCCCAGCCGCTTATGTAAGTGGAGGCTCTGTCCCATTCATCGTGGTTGAGTTTGAGGTCAAGAGATACATCTGCATAAATCAATGTTGACTGTGAAGGGCAGTCTGTTTATAGCCTCTCGGCTCAATCATTTGTCTGGATCTGCGCCGCACGCTGTTTGTCTAAACACGACCGCGTAGTAGAACCGACGCAAGTTCCACGTCGAGTCAAGCAAGCGGCGACGCGACAGTGCGCAAGCCAGAATCTGAAGGAAGCTATTCGCAAAGGTGTGCAAAGCCTCAAGCTAGAGCAACAGAGAGAGCAACAGAGTCTGGCCGGACCATCAGAACTTGAGAAGCTCACTAGTAAACAAGAAGGTGATTGGGGGCATGGACGCTGCTGTCCAGCTACCCTCGAGCGAGAGCTTGTGCGCCACAATGAGCGCTGGCTATTGATTGGCTGACACGGTTCTCAGGAAGGCTTGGTCCCGTCTCTCTGTGCTATGCCATATTTGTCTCATCGCGATCCACTGTCAAAGCATGATTGGTTATCAAGACTGCAGCTATCCCTGTCGTATGCCCTGGCAAGGGTAATCTGTCGAGCTCTGACTGGGGTCAGCGCGACTTGGCGGGTTCCTACAAATAAGAAGTGGCCCCGAATTCTGAATTTCGCGCTTCTGATGCAGAAAAGTCCTGGAAAAAGTTCAAAGAAGCCTGACATTGGTCATCTGATCTGTCACGAGACCTCGGAGAGACACAGACACCTCGGAGTGAACAGTGTTGGCTCAGAGCTTTCTCTTATTCGATTGGGGATCATTCCGGTACGTACCGATTTTGTTTCCCGTCGCATCCAACAAAGTCAATTCTTTTTCTACGCTTCCCAACTACCACCAAACACGCCCTCACCTCACGACTATACTCGCACTATTCTGTATCACCAGTTGATTGCATCGCGTACACGACGTGTTGAGCTATTCCTCCGGTGTTTGCATCCCCCCTACTGTCGTTTTCTTCCTGCCGATGCAACGGACGGACCGCGTTGGCTTCATCTGCCACTACTCTATCTACCATTACCTATGGACCATTATTGTACTTTCAGAAATGAGAAACCATGTTTGCTCTTGCACAGCCTACGAATTGAT